GTGTAGATAACAGTTGAATCCACGAAAATAAGTGTGTCTGTTCCTAAATCACTGTATCTGCAGGGTTACTTTTGGCAATTGAAAATTACTCAAGCAACTAAGGAATTTACTATAATAAAACGATCCAAATTAGGATGGTTCAGGGATTAATTCACTCAGGAATAATATCACTAAGGACTGAGGTTCTTTCCATCTTTTAATGCTGCTGCCATTCTTGATCCGTTGTATTGTCCTTATAGTCTAGTTCTGGTTGGCACATTCAAACCGAGAGCTGCATGCAAAAAAAAGAAGGGGAAAGTGTTTTCACCTGGGTGTCTTTTTCATCTGCTAGGAAAACCTTTCCCAAGAGCTTCCTAGCACATTTTCTTATCATAAGACCAGTATTACATTAGATGCTTACTGTCAAACTACCTACTAGCAAGGGGAATGGAAATTGCCACAATTAGTTGAGACCAGAGTTTTCTAGCCCAAGTACCTGTCTGATGTCTTTTTTGGAAGAAGTCTTTTCCACTTGCCTTTTGACTCCTTCTTGTAGTTCAGATAGATTAGATTTTCTACAACTCAGTGTCACATCACGGTGTTACGTACTATTCAGTACTTCACATTAGCTGATATTTGCTGCAACCGTACTCTTTGTCGTTAACTATACTAGATTATAGGTTACAGACATGAACGAGAAACTTATAGCTTGACATAGAAATAAAGCTTACAAGAAGAGTGCAATGATAGAATTGTACTTTCAAATTCATTTGTATTATAGATTTAATACCATTGTTTGTATGTTTGGTTATTTGAGAAAAATCATGTTGAGTTTCAAAATTAGGCTTATATTCAGTTTATAAGTGAACTTTAGAGCACAGCCCATTCGTGAGTTGACCTTCCCTTTCTGTGTTATGTGGTTACATGTTTAATTATAGAAGCACATGATAAACTTGCCTAAATTATACTGTTTGTTTAGGTTATTTAATGCTAAAACCATATTGTGTTTTTTTTCTGGAGCATATTGTTTGACTCTTGTAGTTAATGTATCAAAATTTTTAACAGCAATAACTTTAGTTTAAGATCTAACTGAAATGTTTGTAAAATATAGATTATTTTGAAATTTGATCTGATTTTTAATAAACAGTTAAATCAACACAGCTATAGTTTTTACAGCAATATGTACAACACATAGGGTGCTTTTTATGGGTGCTGAAAAGAGAAGAATGAAGACAGGGAAGAGGATTTGGAGTGGCAGAAGAAAAATGTGCAATCAGTGTTGCTGATTCTTCTGAATACTAAGAATTCCACTACATTTTTATATCTGGCAAAAACTCAAAAGTAATTTTAAATTTCAGCTTAAACTGGCTGTATTTATCAAAAGCATATTTATGCCATTCTTTTCTATAAAGCAAATCTTACTAATATAGAAGCCAGTGGGTGACATTCTGACACCTTGTAGTTGAAAGATAACTAGTGTAATATCCCTAATCTTTGCTTATCCCTGATGGGTTTTGTGTGGTTAGTGATCATTAAAGTATCTTGGTGGGCCACGTGCAGTGACTCACGTCTGTCATTCCAACTTTTTGGGAGCCTGAGGCAGGAGGATCGCTTGAGCCCAGGAGTTAGGCAATGTAGTAAGACCCCATGTCTACAAAAAAATTAAAAAATGAGTCAGGTGTGGTTTCAGTTACCTGGGAGGCTGAGGCAAAAGGATTGCCCAAGCCCAAGAGGTCAAGACTGGTGAGTCATGTTTGGGCCCACGCATTCCAGCCTGGGTGACAAACTGACACCCTGACTTAAAAAAAGGAAGTGTGAGCCGGGCTCGGTGGCTCAGCCTGTAATCCCGCGCCTTTGGGAGGCTGAGGTGAGTGAATTGCCTGAGCCCGCGGGTTCGAGACCCGCCTGGGCAGTGAGACCTCATCTCTACAATAAATCAAAAAA